CATGGGTCTTGGGGCCATCTTTGGCCCTTAGCTAACAACCAGTGTCCCTGTGCTGGATCCTAGGGGAGGGTGGGGAGGCAGAGGCACAAGAAGACAGGTCTCTGGCCCCTCCAGGGTCTGCCCACGGTAGGGAGAGCTGGAGATACGTCAACCATGTGCACACCACGGTGTTGTGAGGAGGTGGGCCACGACAGCAGATGAAAAAGCACTGTGGTGAAGGCTGCAGAGGTAGCAAAGCCTTCAGGGTGCAGGCTGGCAAGGCTGGGGAGGGCACAGGTGAACGCTTGCACTGGAGGGGCTGTCACAGTTGTACAGCTGAAGGTCTGAGATCCAGGGAACAGGCTGTGAGAGCCTGCCCAGGCTTCTTCCAGATGGGCTGCCGTGATCCTTGGCATACCTGGCTTATGGAAGCCTCGCCCAGAACTCTGCCCCTCCTCACAGCATCCTCGCTGTGTCTCTGTGCACAACCGCACCTCCCCTTTGTACAGGAACACCAGCCACGCTGGGCAAGAGCCCACTCTGATGACCTCAGTGACGTGTACCTCAGTGACAAAGGTCACACTCTGTGCTAGGACATCAGCAGATGGGCCCAAAAGGGACAGAACTCGGTCCATCACAGGCGTGCCAAGGCACAGAGAGTGGATGTGCTGGTAGCTCAGTGCAAGGCAGAAGAAAGCAGGCTATAGCAGTAGTACCAGTAATTGGAGAGGGGGATCAGAGTTCCTATCCAGAAAGATCCATGTGGGCAGTGGGTCAGGGTGGATTCTCTGCACTTGGCTGGCATGGACAGGGCAGGTGGCTGGTAGGCTCCACTCACTGCCCAAGGTCAGAGCTAGACAGCCTGTTAGAGCAACCAGGTTCTCCACGGGCAGCTTCCTGTCTCCGGGTTAGTTTGATGGGGCCCTTCCAGCATGCTCATGGTGTGGCCATGCAGCGAAATCTGAAGCCAGCCCTGGAGGAGTACGAAACAGACACACACTGAGGCATTACTCCTGGTCCCAATTTGCAGAGCCTCTGAGCCTCAGCTGATTTAGGAGACCCCGTGTCTTAGTACCTTGAGAGCTTTCCATCAGTCTGACAAAATACCTGAGACAAACTTACAGGAAGAAAGGTTTATTCTGGTTCACAGTTTCAGGCACAAGAGAGCACAGCTGCTCACTTCATGCTGGCCAGAAAGGGGCAAGGGGTGGAGGGAAAGCTGGTGGGCTCTCCCCCTTTTTCCACTTTTGTTCTGTCTGGGCCCCAGTCTATTGGATGGTGCCACCCACATTAAGGGTGGGTCCCACATGCCAGTAACCCCTGGAAACATGCTCCCCAACACACCAAAAAGTGTCTTGCTAATTTGCTGGGCACTTCTCAATCCAGCTGACAATCAAGATTAACCATCACAAGCACACTGCAGGCAGATTACAAATGCGTGTCACCGGAACTGCATGCTTCGTGCTGGAACTGCCTTTGTGCGACTTGGGCCACTTTGCTAGCTTGTACCAACCAATTCTGGGGGCAGTCAGGGGCTCCCCAGGCCTCATAGCCATGCCTGTGCAATAAGCACACATCTGTGGTTAGCTGGAACTCACAGAATGGTGACAAACGGTCAGCTGCCTCATCCTTCTCAGAGACCAGCATCAGGCCCCTTGCATTTGCTCCCACTTCCTTTGCAGGGGCCAACTGTGGGCACAAGGTCAACATTTTGTATGATTCCAGCTCTGGCCAGGAAGGGGCTGAACCCTGGAAACTAAGTACATGGCCAAACTCACTCACCTACAGGTTCCCAAGAAAATCAGAATCAATTTCACAAATGTAACCTGGACCGATTTTGAGACCAGCAGTATGGAGAGTTCATTTTGTCCCTTTTGAAAATTCTAAAAGATGGCATCAAAGGCGATGATAGCAATTTTCTGTCATAGCAGTGGCTAGCATAAGTCCACTCTCCCTGCAGGGAAGGGCCATCAGGGCACAGGAAGATTGGGTGGATCCCATGCATCTAGCAGCACTTGTGCCTGGCTAAGATTTAGGGTGGGGGGCTGCAGGGCTCCCCACTATCAGTACTATATGGGAGTGGAAAACTGAAACACTGGACTTCTTGTGTAACAGTCTCCAACCTTCAGTCTTGACAACTAAGTTAACATGGGTTAAAGCACTGTTTGGGTAGATTTGGCCCTTGCCAACCTGAGATTTACCCCTCCACTTCCTGAGCCTCAGACAGAGGACACCCCACAGATGGGTGGCAGATGGAAGGTGATAGTGCTTCCCCTGCAGGAACCTGCCCAACACCTGGCATTCGGCTTCCATCCTGAGCAAGGCAGCTGGTCACAACCCAACACCAGGCATGACCAACCCTAGGAATGTGGTGGATGGGCAGCTGGAGGCTCTCTGCTACCAGCTGATTTGCCAGGGGCTCTCCTCTCAAAGACCTTGGATGCTGGCCTCTGGTGCCTGAGCCCAGGCAAGGAGCGCCTTCCTAATAGGTGCCTCCCACACCTGCAGTGGTACCTGACTCATAGAAGCACCGGTGAGAAATGAGAATAGGCTTGTGCTGCCTTCCCTAGATCCAGGGGAGGCCGTGCATGGTTCCTATACCTCACCTTGGTATACTTCATGCCTCCTCCCAGGCTCTTCTGTACCACTATCCCTAGCACAGACTCCATCCCCACCCCTAGCTAGCTGCCCTTTCTACTTCCACTCCAGAAGCAGAGTGATCCATGGTCCAAAAACATGAATCAGATCATGCCCCTCCCCGGCCCAAGCCTAACTCTTCCCCCTGGTATTCAAGCCATTTGAATCCCACTGCTCTCTCTGCTGCCCTTCCCTGGCTGGCTCTGCTCTGGCCACCAGGTCCTCCTGCTGTTCTGCAGTCGTATCAGACTCCTCCTCGATGGATCTGATGGAATTACCTCCCCGTCATTCCTCACGAAGCCTTGCCTGACCCTTCGCATGGTACCCAGCCCCTCTCCTGCAGTCTGTGTTTTCAGGTGGTGCTCCGCACACGTGACATTACAATGTGCTCACTTACTTGGGGTCAGGTGGCTTCCCCATGAGAACGCAAGCTCTGGATGGCAGGGACAGACTGTGTGTTGACATCGCAACTGCACCTCCCAGCTTTCAGTGGGCACTCAGAACAAAAGCACTGGGAAGACGCAAACAGAACAGTGAGTTCCTGAGTGCCAGTCACTGTTCTGGTGTGAAGACAATGGAGGAGAGAGAGGGTGGACAGAGCGGCCACAGCCTGTAGCCTATACTCCATCTGTCTCTGAGCTAACACAGCCTGAGCATTAAGTGTGGCCAAGTTGGGCTGGTTGCTCACACCCCTTGTGAGCTCCCCACTACTCTCCTCCACCCGGCCCTTTTCACTTCCTAAGTCAACCTGGTTTGCCAGCTAAGTCAAAACCAAGTTAAACCTGGTTTGACTTGCCAAGCAAGTCAGAAAAAGAGCTGCCAGAGTCACTGCAAACACCATGCTGTCCTCACCTCCATGGTCCCTCTCGAGGGTTATAGGTGCTCCTGGGACAGGCCACTCAGTGCAGAAACCATACCAGCTAGGGTGAACCAGAGGAGCTGCTCCTCCAAGTGGGCAGATGACAAAGCAGCAGCCATGGCAACTGCCTCCCCGCTGTGGGGAGCCAGCTGCCTCAGGCCTCTCATCCAGGTCTGGATACTCAGGGTGTTAGATTTGTAACAATTCGCCACGTAGTGCACTTGGGCCGTGATGACTCTTCTGTCTGAGGTACACGTTGTTTAAAATTTTAAAGAATGCACGGCAGAAGAGGGAAACACAGCGACGTGGTGGCTGGCAGCTGCCAAGGGACAGGTTTCAGCGTGAGCGCAGGCACTGGGCTTGAACTTTGCTGTGCACTGGGTTCGCTCGCCACACCCCCAGCTACAGGCAACCTGTGGTGGGCCTGGCAGCAGAGCTACGGGACAGTGCCAGGCTCACTGTCGGGGTACAGCAAGCTGGGCATTTCCACGGCAATGTTTGAAAACTGCAGCTGGGTCATGTACATGGTAGGCAAGGCAGGGGTGGCAGTCCCGGCAGCTGCAAGTTTCCTTGAGTAGCAGACACAGAAGGGAGGCGCTGCACTTTGCTTGATGTGGAGGACTGAGGCCTGGGGGCTTGAGCCCAGTGCCCCGTGCTGTGGGTGTCCCGGAGTCTGTCGTGGCTTCCACCCCCCAGGGGATGTGATGGGAAGGCACAACTAGCATGGGGGAGGGAACGGCTCAGAAAGGGCCTAGAGCTCCTGAACAGTGGTACAGTGCCCAGATGGAGGCAGCACCACGGTCCAAGCATGTGATCCCCTATCCTAGGAGCTCTAGGAAATTTTCCCTCCTCCCCCTGGGACAAGGCAGGGCCCCTCCCTCTTAGCATCTTGTTGAGCCAAGCTTTTATGCCAGTGATGGTGAACCTTTTAGAGCGGTCAATGACAGCAAAGAGCCCACTGCGGCCCATGTGCCACTGTTCCTGCCATCTCATCTCAGGCCTACAGATAGAGAAAAGATAGAGAGCTTCCAGAGGAAACTGGCCGTGTCCATATGATATGTGGTCCCAAAATGCTTAAGAAGCAATTAAGCGCCATGTTTTCTCTTCACTGCAAAAATGGGAAGCTGCTGCTCAGCCCCGACCCTGGAAAATCACTTGGGTGGCTACACAGAGCCACTGGCTGTGATAACTGCTCCAGGCCCACAAGAGTGAGCACTGAGAGTACTCAGGTTAAGTCCTGTCCGGCAGCTGCAGAGTGCTGGCTGGGCAAGGGCCGAGGGCAGATGGAGGTGCTGGCCGCAGGGGGCAGGACTCCCTGGGCACAGCTAAGTGACCTCTCCAGCCACAGCTGCATTCATTCTGGTTTTCTCAAGTGCACCTTTGCTTCTTTTGTCTCCTGAGGTTTTCCTCCCACTCCCTGTGCTGGCCCCTGGCCTCAAAGGACCACTTGTCCCCTCAGGCTGCCTGCTGCACTGCCACTTCTTCCTGCTAACCTAGCCACTGACCTGTTCTCGTCTTCCTGCAGGTTAACAATGAGAATGTTGTCAAAGTCGGCCACAGGCAGGTGGTGAACATGATCCGCCAAGGAGGGAATCACCTCGTCCTTAAGGTCGTCACGGTGACCAGGAACTTGGACCCTGACGACACCGCGAGGAAGAAAGGTGCGTGGCCCCCAAGACTCCCTCCAAGGGGCACGGGTAGGGCCCGCTGCAGGGTAGATGGCGCCTTCTCTTTAGCTAAAACCCAGACATGGCTTGGGGCTAGAATTGGCCACCGCAAACATGACAATGACCCAGAGCCGTGCTCCCCGCCAAGCGCAGGCCCTGTTGGTAAGGAGTAGTGAAGAATCACAGCCGTCCTTTTAGCCACGAAGAGCAGCTGTGTAGTGGCACCAAGGACAGCAAATCCTGTGACGGCAGGTCAGCTAGGCTTGGAAGAAGATGCACAGAGCAACGCAGCCAGGGCACAGCACGGGAAGAGGGCCTGGAGGAGGGCGCTGGAGACAGACAGGCCAGGGCTGTCTCGCCCTGGAGAACTCGGGCTCCACCTCAGGAAGGCAGTCCCCAGCTTCGCCTAAAACCCAGCGTGAGCAAAGAGCCTTTGTACCTGTGACGGGGTGGGGGCAGGGCCCTTACCCAGCCTGGCAATGGCATCTAAGAGCTGAGGGCTCGCAGACTGCAAGAGCTATCTGTGGCCCATCAGCCATGCCCCGTTAGTCACCAAAAGACTCCATGTAGACAAGCCGGACAGGCCTCCCTCTCTCCCTCCCTCGGCCGAGTGCCCACCTTAGCCTATCCTAAGCAAACCCACATGGCCCCAACAGATCCAGCCCACAGAACCTCCCTGCCACATGACTCACCCACAGGCCACAGAGTGATGCCTGTCTTCCTACCTGCCAGCCTTCCCCACAAAACTGTAGGCAAGAGGGCCACCGCGCCTAGCCCCATTATTCCCGTGTCCGGAAACGTGGGAAGTATGTGCACAGCATGGGGCCTTGCCACCGTTCTCATTCCTGTCTCTGTTTGTCCATCAAGCTCCCCCACCTCCGAAGCGGGCGCCGACCACGGCCCTCACCCTGCGCTCCAAGTCCATGACCGCAGAGCTAGAGGAGCTCGGTAAGAGCCACCATCCCCCTACCCAGCTCATGCTGCCCCCTGTGAAGCCCCAGCCCATGCATGGCCCCTTGCTGGCTTGCTTGTCTCCTTCAGTGATAGTGTGCCCTCTCCCTGCCCTGCATGGCTGGGCAGTTCCACATTCGGCATCACCCTCGGGAACCTGTGGGTGTCTTTACTCTTTCCTGTTTGTCTAACATTGTTTTGTTTTGAATTTTTGGGCCTCTCACTAGTGGACAAAGGTAAGCGGAATCTCAGCAGCAGCTACCCTGCTGTCTAGGGCACCCCTACTGACTGCTGCCTTGGCCCAGCCTTGGAGGCCTGTGCAAGGTGCTCCCTGATGCAGCTAGGCATGGCTCAGACCTTAAGGGGTCTTGGCATAGATGGCACTGGCATCGGCACACCAGATTTAGGGAGCACCCAGCACCTTAAGAGGTCTGCAAGAAAGAGAGACTCCCAACCATTTGTCCCTGTCCTGTAGACTGGGTAAGGGTGACTATTAGCCATATGCACCATGGTAACCATTAAAAGGGGAACGTTGGAGCTGATCTCCCAGATGCTGCTAAATGCCATAAGGCGAGTCTCCAGGGAGTCCAGGGACACTTCTGGGAAGAGTAGCTCTGAACCTCAGGATGGTGAGGGAGTAGAAATGCTTGTCTCACCGACAGCAGGAACAGGGCTGGTGAGGGCAAGTCATGTGGGCACAGAAGCAAATCTGAGCTCCTGGCCCAGCAGGCTGAAAGTTGAGTGCCTCTCTTTGACATCTTGCCTAGATATCCCTCTCAACTGATGCCAGCCTTCCACTGGAGACCTTTAGGTCCTGCCCACAAAAAATGTCAAACACAGAGGGAGCCTTCCTCTTTGCTCTCCCATGGGAGGGGTCTAGCAAACCACGACCATCCTTCTGGGCCGAGAATACTGAGGTTGGCCAGGCCATCCCAACTGCACTGTGGGGCTCAGCACACAGCTTCGGTTCTTTAGAAAAGGGCAGCTGTGCCCCAGCTTTCTCCTTTGTCTCATATGTCACCATGTTCACCATATTATCCTTTCAAACACAGTCCACTGGGGAGACCACAACAGCACCGACATGAGCCACACCTGATGGGCAAGGAAAGTAGGAATGCTGACAGCAAGTCCAGGGGTGATTTCCCAGGGGTCACTGTGGGACCCCCAAGGTGACAGCAAGCAGCTCATCTTTAAGGGGCACCACTGAAGGGTGTCCTGAGACCTCAGGGCTATGCAGGGGCTCAGGTGTCGTGAAAGCTAGCCCACCATGGGTGGACTTGTATTCACATTTGTCTTTCTGAAGCTCACATCCCACTTCTCAGGACATTGGCGGGGACAAGGGGTGTGACTCAAGAAGGAAAGTGCCTTTCCACCTCTAGGAAGGGGGTTCACAAGCAGGGCAAGTGGAAAGAGACAACCCAGGTCCAGGTCTGGGAAAGCTGCACCTGCAGCTCTACAGTGCCCCCTGTCCCCCAGTGCTGGGTCCCAGCCTGTTTCCCATGGCCACCCTCAGCTGGGCAAGGCCCCAAGTGTAGGCTGCAGGCTGCTGTCCAGTGGCTCACAGCACTTCCCTTTCTGTTTGCAAGCTGCAGTCCGGAAGAAGAAGGGTAAGGGAAGCCCAAGTGTCTGTCTCCAGTCCTCCTGCGCGTCACACCCCAGTAGAAGCGAAATCCCTCTTGTGACCGTCAAGTGAAGTCTAGAATGTACCATGAACGTTGTGTCTTCTCCCTGTTTTGGGGTCTTGCCTAAGAGCCCCAGCCCTAGAACATGTCCCATTTTGGTCTGTTCGGTCTGTTTGACTTCTGTCTGTGACTCTCCTGACGTGTCCAGTATTTTCCCATGAGCTGTGTCCATGTCAACATGACTATGAAGCTACTGCAAGCCCTTGGTGGTCACAGCTGGACCTTCCATGGCTAGGCAGAGGCCTTGGCACTCCCAAGGAGGCTGACCAGAGACTAGGCCACACGGGCTGCAAGACAGGGGTATAGGCACAGGAGCCCCTGGCTGCTCCTGACCCAGCATTCCCTTTGCAGTAACCAAACACTGCCCCTTTCAACATATTGAAAGTTTCCCTTGTGCTGGTGGCAGAGGGAGCTAGGGTCTTCTGACCCACCATGCTGTGAGATGGGAAGGCAGCAATGGTGTGACAGTGAGCAGCCATGACACAAGGCCCACATGTACCCTGAGAATAGAGCTCTTTCCTTCTGCAGCAGTAGCCACATCTTGGATGTTTCTCACCTGGCTGCTGGAGATAGTTTCGAAAGCACTTTCCATTGTACTGAATGAGACCTTCTTCGGAACAATGACAAGCAGCACTCTCAATTCAAAACCATTTTTTCTTTGGTTTTTTGGGCTGCAGGCACCATCCTAAGGCATGCCGTAGACAGAGCAGTGACCAGAAGGTCGCTGAAGTGAGGGGGGTTGTCGGTACTGGAGACCAACAGGGCCAATATCAGGGAAGGTCAGGGCTCCCTAAAGCAGGTGGCAGAGCCTCTGTGGCCTCCCCTCTCCTCTTTGACTCCTCAGTGCTAACAGTCTTCCTGCAGCAACCTAGGCCTTCATACCATACCAGGCTGTCCAGGATGCTCGCAGCGGGCTTTCTAGGGTCTTCTCTGTATCGAGCACAAGGTGGATGCCCAGATATAGGACATGCTTTTTTCTGAGCGTCCTGGGGATATTCTTCTATATGACCCCTTGCCCTGCTGAAGGAAGAACAGCACCGTGGGCTCCTAGGGACCCAGGTATCACACAACTGGCTAGAACAGACCACCATCAAGAAGGATTCGGGAGCCAGGGCAGCAAAGCCTCAGTGGGTAACTCCTGTGGACTGTGCTGGAGGATCCACAGGACAGAAGTCAAGGTCTGCACAACCACCCTCACTGAGGACGGGCAACCGTCCTGGACAGTGGAAATCCACTTTGTTTGAACATCAGAGAAAACTACCTGCAGATTAAATGTCCCCCTACCCCAGTCTAGAACAGGAAGTGAGGGTGAGGGCAAGAAGATCCCAAAGGGCCCAGCAGCTAAGGCCCAGCCCTGTTCTGTGGGGGACCTAGCTGAGGCCAAGAGAACTGAGGAACACCCACAGCCTTGGAGTGTTGTGTGGGCCCCAACGCCACGGCCCCTGCCAGCTTGAAGCCTCAGCTCCCCTCTGTGCACTGGGGACCATGACCCACAGCAAGTGCACAGGGAAGGCTCCACCTCTTTGTGAGGACCAGCCTGACCTACTATGTCCTGTCACCTCATGTCCTGCCCCACACCTTGACCACAGACTTCCAGCCTCCAAAACTGAGAGGATAAATGTCTGTCCTTTTGAGTCATCTTGTTTGTGGCTTGTTTCTGCAGTGTTAAGAGGTTCCTGCAAAAGTGAAGCAGCCTCAAATCCCAGCTCTCCCCAACAAGGCATGGTGCCTCGCTTGCTAATCCTGATTTTCACAGGGAACCTTCCCTAGTTCCCAGATATCTTGCTGCACACAGGCAAACACGACTGCCACCTGAGCCCTGCACACATAACCACCGAGGGCGGCTCTGGTGGAAGCAGAAGTAGAGCTGGCACGGGGAGGGGAAGTAGTTGTGAAGGGAACCATGACTTCCACCCTACTAGGCACCTCTGGCTGTACCCACAGACCCCATTCCTGGGAAGGCGTGTGGCTCTTTGGAGCCTGCAGGTCCTCCAGGGCCCAGACCACCTCTCCAGCTCCTTCACTGTCTCTTGGGAGAGCAGACCAAAGGCAGCTTGTCTGGCCCTATGGTGTTCTGTTTCTCCTAGAAGCAGTGCCACAGGGGAAGCCTGCACTGTGCTCGCACCCTGAGCTGGTTGTGGGGTGCTGCCCTGCATGGGGAGCACACCAGTGATTCATGTGCCCCTGAGGGGACAGAGCAGTAGCCGCCTTGCACACAGCCATGGGACACAAGTTAGAGTCACCTTGGTGGGGCTCCCCTGATCCACCTGGGGAATCAGGAAGTTTGGCCAGCAGGTCCACCCTCAGGGCCACGGGAGCCTGTGGTTCCCTGCCTCCCTCCTTGCCGTGGTGGTTAGGGTTGCTTCCCCCTAGAATTTGGAGACTCTGTCCCACAAAGCCTACAATATCTGGCTCGATGAACACAAAACAGCAGCACGTTGTCTCCAACCTGGGGGCGCTGTACTCCCTCTGGCAATTCATGAAGTTCACCTGAGGCCTGGGGACCTGGCTGGGAGACCTGGTGAGAAGCAGGGCAGGCGGTGCTTCCTCCCTGAGAAATGTGGCTGTGACACCCCAATCAGCCTGACAAACACACCGTCTCCCTCCCAAGCTACTCTTCCTGACACCCAGAAGTTTACAATTTATGGCCCATCAGCAACACATCTGTCTTCTGAAGAGATCCTAAGTTTGCTTAGAGAATTAAAGCACGGGTCACTGCTGGAGCATTCATCAGCTCATTAGCCGGTTGTTTTTCTTAAGACTTGACAGTTTTCAAATCTGTCTGCAGGATTGTTTTCAGTCACCAAGTACTTCATTTTACCACTGCAGGGGGCTGGACTCAATAATCCTCTTCATCCAGTTCTTGAATAGACACCCAGCTCCAAGCTTTTGTAAATCAAGCCTAATCCTCACGAGCCAGCCAGCACAAAATGGGAAACAGGAATTTGCAGTCTCACGTTTTTCTTAAAGGTCTTCACGTTCCAGTAAACAAGACTTCACAGATGGGGGCTGAGTAGTCAGGCCACCAGCTCCCATTGGTCAGCAAATCAGAAGATGGGGGTGGCTCTCTAGTCATCTGAATCCCACTAACAATACAAACTAACTTTCAAAGGAACAGTAGCCCTGGCCTTACATCCTCCATAAACCAGGTTGTTCTCATGGTTCTGTGGGTTAGGAGTAGAGCCAGAAGACACAAGGTGCCAGGTGTGGTGGTGCATGCCTGTAATCCCAGCACTTGGGAGGCTGAGGCAAGAGGATCTTTGCCAGTTCAAGACCAGCCTGGGCTACAAAGTGAGCTCAAGGCCAGCCTGAACTGCCTAGTGAGACCTTGTCTCAAAAAGACAAAAAATAAATAAACAAACAGAAGGCACAAGGTTTAAACAGACACCAGGATGGTCCACATTCAAGATGGCCATGGTTCCAGGGGATGCACCTCCTATGACATGACCGTGCCAGCCATCCTGACATAAGGTGAGGATGGTGTCCTGACTTCATGGGCCCTCCCACAGTGTTCTCCAATCAGCTAGGTGAAGCAGATCATTCTGATGGTAATCCTAGAGATTTTCAAATAAGTGTTTTGTTGCCATGGCCCAACAGAGCTAGGTACCCATCTAGATAGCAGGCAGGGCCCGGTGAATTTCACTTGAGCTCAAGCTACTGCCTGGTCCCACAGTCCCCACCTGCATGGCCTGAAGCATATCTCTGACCCACAAACTGTTTTCTCTGTGAAATGGGACCCTTCCTCCTCGCCCCCCATCCCGAAGTTTATAACCAGGTACTATGAAGGGAAATGGGATGAAAAGCTGAATTCCTGCCAGAGTCAAGGACTGCTGTTACCGATTGTGACACTCTTGACTCACCTAGGCACCCCATCCTTTGGTATATTTTTAGGGTGCCTGCCACAGGCCTCACAACGCTCAGATCCCATCCTGCTTCTTTAGGGCACTTGAAGGGTCCAGGTGGTGCCCCAGGATGCCAGGCCATGTACCTCCAGTGCTGTATGTAAGTGGGCATGAGCTCACCCTATCAGTTCGAGAGCTTAATCCCAAAGAAACAAACTCACAGCTTCTGGGAGGTCTCAGTGAAGAATCAGAGCGTCTCTGAGACTCAGCACCTCAACTCAGCCACAGGAGAGTTGCTCCTGCTGTGCTCCTCACCCACAACGTGCCAGACACATCCCCACACAGCAAGCCCTGGCCACCAGGGTCCCATACCCAGGGCCTTCCAACAGGGTCATAGCCCTCTGCATCTTACATCTGTCACTTCCATTGGTGCTCGAAGCTGAAAACCTTCCCTTGCTTGAGCACCCAGCCCCACCTGCCTCCTTCAGCGACTGAACTCAAGCAGCCCAGAAGCCAGGTGTTCCTTGGACCTCTCCCAGATCTCAAGTTAGTGGGTCCTGGCCCAGACACGTCCAGGACATGCAGCCCCGGGCCCTGGACTCTGCACAACAATGTGTACAGATGGGAGGCAGCTGGGTTCTTCAGCTGTCCCACAGCCCTCCATCTGGAAGGCCCCATAATGTTCTGTGGGAATGCAGTCACTCCTCCCTATCTTGGTACATGCCGTCTGGGTTCACGTTAGGGGCTTCGGTTCCCCAGGCCTCACCCTCACGGGAGGCAGAACAGGGGCCAGGGCCAGTACCATGGAAAAGAGTTAGGGGCTGTCAGCATTCTGCAAGGTTCTGTCCTGGGTCTCACTGCAGTGGTGGGATATAGCATCTTGATCCTAGAAAGATCTTGGCCCTGTCTTGGAGAAAGACACTCTTAGGCCACTAACAGCCATATCGTAGCTGAAACAAAGCCAAGGAGTTAGTGCCAAGGGGCCTATATTCTAGGGACAGACCAAGTTTGACCTATGTGCCCAGGGCTGGCTCATCAGGGCAGGATCCCATACATCACCAGAACCTAAGCCAAGGGGCAGTGATTTCCAGCAAACAGGCATGGTGGTGGCACAGGAAACCTATGTTCAATACCAGTCATCACAGGATATATATGAATCCCAGCCCAGACTTACAAAGGAAAGGTTTCTCAGAGAAAGCAGATGGCTGAGATGGCAGCATGTGGGCACAGGTGACATGGCACAGGGAGGAAGAAAAGCCACGCAGTAGATGCTCTAGCAAGAAGAGATGGGCCCTAGAGGATGAGGGCCAGGGCCCTGGACACAGGTGAAGGTGCCCCCACTGCCAGCAGCAACAAGGTTGGGCACTGCTTATCAAACCTGGGCTGTCCCAGAGAGGCACGTGTTCGCTATGCACAGGGGAAATCTGTGCTTCCCAAAGAACCAGAGAGGACACTGTGAGAGACATGTGCAGAAGGCTGGGTCAGCCTGCAAGCCCAGTCAGCTGGATGAGGGTGAAGGAAGCAAGAACCTGAGAGCACTTGCTGGTCTCACTGGGGTGGGGCCAGCAGAGAAAGGGCTGAAGTCCTCCTTGCCCTGCATGATTTATGTAACATCCTACTAGCAAGTAAACCTAGATAATGGTGCAGACCAGGGTGGCAGAACTTCCCCTAAAGGGCTAGTGACCATTCAGGCTCTGTGGGCCACGTGGTCTCTTGCACATCCTTCCTCTTCTTTGCAATCTCTACAAATCCGAAAACCTCTCTGAGGCTAAGGACATGTGAGAGCTGGTAAGGCCAGGATTTGGCTTGCAGCCATTGCTTACAGACTCCTGGAATCTGGCACCTTGTGTGGAATTAGTTATCTTCCACCAAGTCAGAGTTATGAGGGCATTGGCTGCTCTGAAAGGTCAAGAGATCATGACATGTGTCAGCCAGTCCCCACCCTGAAACACTCCCTTCCCTCTCCCATGCGCGTCTCTGTGTGTGTGTGTGTGTGACAGAGAGAGAGAGAAAGAGAGTGTGTGTGTGTGTGTGTGGCTGTTGGATCTGGCCCATCTTCTCAGGTGTTGGTGCTTTCATCCTGGGCTTCTTTGACCAGTGCTGCAGCTCTAGGGAATTCTGCCAGTGCATCAGCTCATCTTAAGAAGCCACCTTTGCAAGTGGCTACCATAGTACTATCTTGAGAAACAACTTGGAGACATGGCCTTCTCGCCTGAATTCAGAGGGAGCCAGCAGACTTCAGGAACAGGCTGGAGTTGCTGAAAGGTCTTGGGCTCAGACACAGAATGTTCTGAATGGCCTACTGCTCCTGCACCTACCTCATCCTGCCCAGAATGCTCATGAGGAGCACAACTAGGCTCGGCTAGGGCTCTTCCCAAGTGCATGAGGGCAGGGCCAGGGGCACTCTGTATCTTAGTGAACAGGGTCCTGTGCTCGAACAGCCTGAGAAAGGCCCTTTTATCTGATCTCAGATCTCCCAGAGGCAGAGCCAGGCATCAGGCCAGTTCTAGGATACATTTCAGTTTTCAAATTAGAACAGGTTATGTTTTAAATTTCCTCTTTTAAACATTTCTAATTTCTAAGGGTTACTTAAACCTTTGGCTTTCTTTTCCACGAGAAAATAGTGATGTTCCACTGTGGGGAGAACAGGAACTTCCTTACACAACACGTGCCAACATCTGGGGCTTCTGGCACCCACCCTGAATTCCTAAGTGCATACTATCAAAGCCCCAGCTTCAGGTGCAGTCTCTGTCTTGGAAACTGCATTTAGTTACAAAAGGGAACTATGATTTGGGGTCACTTTTTAAAGCTCCAAAAGTTAGTTCATACCAAAAAAGATAAATTCCACTAGTGAGAGTAAAGTTAGTCTCTGAAGAAAGGTCATATAGAGCTCCAAGGCCCTGGGGGCACAGTGCTGCCCAGGGAGGAGGCCAAGTTTTTGAGTCTTCTAGACCATCTGTGTCCAGGTCACCCTGGGGCTAGAGGTCTGGGGGACTAAAGGTGCTCTGGCAGGAATGCATGGGACAGGGAGAGATGCGTGCATGCTCCCTACATGACGGGCCTACCTGCAATTTCAGGCACTGGAGCAGTTGCTGTACTTCCGCACTCTGCTAACTACATTCACCCTCCTGATTGCGCTACGGCCATTCTAATCCCCATGGTTATGTTGCAGATAAACCAGAAGAGATAGTTCCGGCCCCGAAACCTTCCCGGACTGCTGAGAATGTGGCCGTGGAGTCAAGAGTGGCGACCATCAAGCAGCGGCCCACCAGCCGGTGTTTTCCAGCGGTCTCAGATATGAATGTGAGTAGTTGTGCCCCTGGGAATGTGGGCTCAGGGGCTAGGATGGACTGGAAAGCAGTCAGGCAGTGCTCAGCATGGATACAGAGGGAGGTCTCAGAATGAAAGTCCACACATGCAAGCTCAGAGCCAAATCCAAGGGGTCACAGGATGAATACCCTATTCCAGTGCAGACCTGCAGTGTGGGCACAGACCAGCTGGAGCCCACGCCTCATTTGTCCTGCATTCCCAGCTCTATTACTCAGCCCCTTGAGCCTTGAGGGTGTCCCTCCACATATTCAGTTGAAGTTCTGTGAGCCGTGGACATAAAGAACCGTGGCAGTAGATCTCAGACACAAGGATCTGAGCTCCTCATTACTCCAGGATAAAAGAGGCTGTCTGGCCTGCATTGCAGGCAGAGGTCCTCTGCAAGCACAGCCTCCACAGAAACATCTAACCAAGACTGAGACTGGGCTCAGGTCAGGTACCTGTACAGCGCCTCCCTCCCCAGCCATCAGGTGTGATCCTCCCTGCTGATACCCTGCCCCCAGCATGTCCTGGAAAATTCAAGGCCTCTTATACCTCTGGGTTACTTCTCACTTTCCCACAGGCAGCCAGCTATCAGTGCCCCCTCTTGGTTCCTGGAGCCAGGCCCAAACACTACCTGTTATGGTTACTTAGCTTACTATTTTCTTTGGTCCAATTTCAAGTTGGCTCAGTTTAATCTAGCCTTTTTAAACAACACCACCCACAAATATCATAGTTTTGACTTGAGAGTTATGTGACATTAAAATAAACACTGTTAACAATTCAAATACAAGTGTTCACTTCAGCCTTCACCCTTCACCTCCAGAACTTCACGAGGTGACACCCCTATTCCTTGACATACCCACACATGACCTCCCTAGTCCTAGATAGTCTCCAACCCCTGACTGGTCCTGTGAGGTAGGTGCCCTTGACCTCCCAAGGGCCAAGTTCTGGCTTCTCTCCCCATACTCAGGGCTATAGGGTGAGATGGACAGAGAGTACGGTGCCTGGGCAGGACTGCCTCCATGCCAGGATCATGAAAGTGTGCACATAAATATGTTGCCAGTGAAGGTCTGCATCTCGATTTTTCTGAGCCCCTCTGCAAGTGGCAGAGCACTGGTCGTCCACACGTTTCAGTTCTGCAGATAAAGCAGTGCCAGTGGAAGGGGTGAGGGGACAGGCTGAGGTATGCAGGCAGTCTACCTTCAAGATGGACCACAGAACTCTCAGGCCTTCCTCGAACAGGCCCAAGGAAAGAGGAGGTTGGCAACAGCTTCCTCCCATGTGCTGAGTGCCACAGTCCAGAAAAATCCCACAGCTCACTCGAGCGAGCCAGCGCAACTCACAAACCGCACAATGTATGGAACCGGTCACCTTCATGCATACTATGGGACATACTGGTCTTTTTTAGTGGAGGAAAACAAAGGTTCTGGCTTGAGGACTCAGCCAAGATCACAGGGCATATGGAGAGCCAGACTGTGGGCCCAGGCCAGATCCCACTGCTCTGTGCTCTTTCCCACAGGACATCTATCCTGGCCCTATTCTCTCAGGGATATACCTGTCCAGTTTGTCTAGTGAATGATGTCAGAGTGACCACAGCTCCTCAGAGCAGGGCCTGCTGGCACCTCACACTATCAGTGCTAAGGGGCAAGGCTCAGGAAGGGCTCTTCATGGGTTCACAGTGCTGGCTGTGAGGAGTCACTAGACACTAGACACTTTACATTGCTCCCGGGGAAGCCAGTGACCAGGACCTGCTGTGTCCAGCGCTCCCTTGCTGCCCTCTAGCCATCACCATGGGAGTGGGCTGGCCAGGGCCATGTCTCACCCTGGCTTTTGGGTTTGCAGTCCGTGTATGAACGCCAGGGGATCGCTGTGATGACACCCACTGTTCCTGGGAGCCCAAAAGGCCCATTTCTGGGCCTCCCTCGAGGTACGATGCGAAGGCAGAAATCGATAGGTAAGAAGCGTGACCTTCACCCGAAGAAGTTGCCCCTTGGCTTTCATACTCAGCCCTCAGATCCCCTAGGGAGTTCTTGCCTCTGGTCCCCCCCAGGTTGCCCTGGCATCCTTGCCCTCCCAATCTCCATGAGGCCTATCCACCAAAAAGGCAGGCACCTGGCCTTGCCTGCTTGGTACCCATTTGAACATAGGAGGGTATGAACCTTTCCACTCCAATGGATACAAAAATCCAGTGTGGGTTCTCTTAATTCTGAAGCCAGTTTATTTGGGACAATACCAGTGCGGTGAAGGGGACCAAATGCCAGGAAGGACAGTGAGGGGAGGACAGGGTGGGCAGGGTGAGTGGACTCCCTACGGTCCTAAATTCGTAGGATGAGCTCAATGGACATACTTCTCCGGGTGGCTGGGTCAGGTTCTTGAACTCTAATGAAACCATGTATTCTGTTGTAGAAAATGGCTTACCTTCCTTGTAACATCCCAGTCATTCCCACAGACTCTGTGACAGGCCTAAGTAAAGTGGACCTCTTCAGACAGTTCTTTTGGGAGTGAATCCAGCATTGCCTTTATCATGTAAACTCTCCTAGAAGCCAAGGCCACTGCCAGACATAGTGAATCCTTGCTATATAAATTGAAGAGTGTGTGCAGCTGCTCCCCCGTACTCCAGCCTTGCCCAGCCTGCCCAGGAAACAGGGTTCTGTGTATCTGGAACCACCTCCTGGCAGTGCTGCTAGAGGCAGGACTCGTTTGTTCTGGTTTGAGGAGGATGGCAGTAAGCAGCAGCTAAGCATTAGGTGACCGTGGTGGTGTCTGCTGCTCGTCAAGCTTGCCCACTCCCTACATACTCCAGGCCTCTGGCGAAGCTGCACACACACCATGTTGTATGACTGCATCCTTACTGGTTAATAACAATTGATTTCCTCCTGTCAGACAGCAGAATCTTTCTATCAGGTTAGTGAATGCCTCCAGTTTGAAATCTGTAATTTGAATGTACCCCAGTTTACTGTATAAGGTGTATTCTTAAATTATTACTCCTTGGGAACTTCAATGTCAGGCAACCAACACATAGCAAATGGTCAACGCAGATGCCTTTAGCAACCAATCATGACAATGCCAAATTATCCTCCCACAAGGAGTACGTTAAATTTGGAATACCCTTATCAAGTGGAAGTTTTCATTGGAATAAATGATTGTAGTTTGTCTTAGGAATTTTTTTTAATTTCAAATAATTCGTTTTGTTGCCTCTGAAAACCTGCATGCCCCCATGAGACCCTGGTCCTTGGTGTCACTGTGTGTGTTGCTTCTGTCCGTGTGTTCATGTCTTAGACTGCTGCACAGTCTGTAGTCACACCAGTCGGCACACCCAAAGGATATTCAGATGGTACTACAACCACCATAGGCCTCAGCCACCCTCAACATCCACGTATTTCCATTAGTCACGTCTCAGAACATGGCTTTGATCTGTGCCAAATCAGCTGAACTTGGGCCCTGGCTGACCAGTGACATGCCATACCACTCCACCCAGCTCTGGAGGGTCCAGTTCAGACTAGCATGGAGCTCACCAAGCACTGCTCAGTATCTTGCTCCTGTGTGGACAGAATGAAGTCATTAGTTAGAGGGATCAAGGCTCACCTCCCTCATGGGCATGTTCCAGAACCAAAATGGCCCTTCCCCCAAGCCAGACACCTCACAGCCCTCTTGGTGAGAACCCAGGGACTCCAGTATATACATAGAGCCCTACATACAGCCCAGACAAGCCAGGTGACAATGCCTCTTCTCAGTATGCACAGGACCCCAACAGGCAGACATGCACATATGGGCAGGAGCATCAGTACTCAGAAGCCACCTGAACAGCAGCATAGTCCTTGGCTCCGTGTACCATGTGAGCAAATGCCTTCAGCAAATGCCTTGTGCCCTCCAAAGTGATCACCTCAGGCCTCCAGAAGCACTTGTCAAGTCTGAAAGGGACAAGGAAGGAAGGCTCTTGGCCTAGCTAGCTCATTCCACCACGAGAGTGCACTCACCCTGACAGATACACACACACGCACATTCGGCCACGAGGAGCCTTGGCAGCTGAGGTTCAGCCTAGAGAGCTGCACACAGCCTGGCATCAGACCCTTGCTGCCCTGACCTTGTGCTGGATACCACATGTCCTGGAGAACGGCTCACTGCACCCCCTATACCTGTTTTCTTTCTTCTTGTTTTTTGGCTCAAAGTGGGCCATATAACTAACCTCTCAGTATTGTGGCTTGTGCTGTGTTTCGTAACAAGTGTACAGTGTCTAAGTTTGTGGAGATGTGGATTGCACAATCCTAAAAACTTTAGCAGGGTATTGCTTCTTGCAATTTAAAACTAAACCTGTTTTCTACTCATAGGAATAACAGAGGAAGAACGACAATTTCTGGCCCCTCCGATGCTGAAATTCACCAGAAGCCTGTCCATGCCAGACACCTCTGAGGATATTCCCCCTCCACCACAGTCTGTGCCCCCGTCTCCACCACCACCTTCCCCCACCACCTACAACTGCCCCAAGTCCCCGACTCCAAGAGTCTACGGGACGATTAAGCCTGCATTCAATCCGAATTCCGCTGCCAAGGTGTCTCCTGCCACTAGGTCCGACACAGTGGCTACCATGATGAGGGAAAAGGGGATGTTCTACAGGAGAGAGCTGGACCGCTACTCCCTGGACTCTGAAGACCTCTACAGTCGGAATGCCACTCCCCAGGCCACCTTCCGCACCAAGCGGGGCCAGATGCCTGAGAACCCATACTCAGAAGTAGGGAAGATCGCAAGCAAGGCTGTCTACGTGCCTGCCAAGCCTGCCAGGCGGAAGGGCATGCTGGTGAAGCAGTCCAATGTGGAGGACAGCCCCGAGAAGACGTGCTCCATCCCCATCCCCACCATCATTGTCAAGGAGCCCTCCACCAGCAGCAGTGGCAAGAGCAGCCAGGGAAGCAGCATGGAAATTGACCCCCAGGCCACAGAGCCACCGGGCCAGCTGCGGCCTGATGACAGCTTGACCGTCAGCAGCCCCTTTGCTGCTGCCATTGCTGGGGCTGTCCGTGACCGGGAGAAGCGGCTAGAAGCCAGGAGGAACTCCCCAGCCTTCCTCTCCACCGACCTAGGGGATGAGGATGTGGGTCTGGGCCCGCCCGTCCCTCGGGTGCGGCCCTCCAAGTTCCCTGAGGAGGGCGGATTTGGCGATGAGGATGGCTCTGAGCAGCTGGTGTCCCCCACACCAGGAGCATCACCAAGGGAGCCTGAAAACCACTTTATGGGAGGTGGTGAGGCTGGTGCTCAGGGAGAGGCTGGGAGGCCCCTGAATTCTGCATCCAAAGCCAAGGGGCCTGAAGGCAGCCCAGCAGGACCCCCCAAGAGCAGCAGCACAGCCAGCCCTGAGAATTACGTCCATCCACTCACTGGACGGCTGCTTGATCCCAGCTCCCCGCTGGCCCTGGCACTGTCCGCAAGGGACCGAGCCATGAAGGAGTCGCAGCAAGGGCCCAAGGGGGAGGCCCCCAAGGCTGACCTCAACAAACCTCTCTACATCGATACCAAAATGCGGCCCAGCGTGGAAGCTGGCTTCCCTCCAGTCACCAGGCAGAATACCCGGGGACCCTTGCGGCGGCAGGAGACAGAAAACAAGTACGAGATGGACCTAAGCAAGGACCGGAGAGGCGAGGACAAAAAGAACATGCTGATCAACATCGTGGACACGGCGCAGCAAAAGTCAGCTGGCCTGCTGATGGTGCATACTGTGGACGCCGCCAAGACAGCTGGGCCCCTAGAGGAGGAAGAGGAAAGAGAGGATGTGGACATAAAGCCAGACCACTTGCCCTCCACAGTGCCAGAAGGCGTTTCCGAAACCGAAGGTGCTTTACAGATCTCCGCTGCCCCCGAGCCCGCCGCCACTCCTGGCAGGACCATTGTGGCGGCAGGCTCCATGGAAGAGGCAGTGGTTTTGCCATTCCGCATCCCTCCTCCCCCTCTGGCATCCGTGGACTTGGATGAGGATTTTATTTTTACAGAGCCATTGCCTCCTCCCCTGGAATTTGCAAATAGTTTTGATATCCCCGATGACCGTGCTGCTTCTGTCCCCGCTCCCACTGACTTGGCAAAGCAGAAGAAAAGTGACAGCCCCCCATCCCCTTCGTGGAACTCTGGCCAGCCAGCCAGCTCCACAGATAGCAAGAAGCCAGCCAGCCTCTCAAACTGTCTGCCCACCTCGTTCCTGCCACCCCCCGAGAGCTTTGACGCGGTCACTGACTCCGGGATCGAGGAGGTGGACAGCCGGAGCAGCAGCGACCACCATCTCGAGACAACCAGCACCATCTCCACAGTGTCCAGCATCTCGACCCTGTCGTCTGAAGGCGGGGAGAGCATGGACACCTGCACGGTCTATGCAGACGGGCAGGCGTTTGTGGTCGACAAGCCCCCCGTACCTCCAAAGCCAAAAATGAAGCCCATAATTCATAAAAGCAACGCACTTTATCAAGATGCGCTCCTAGAAGAGGAAGTAGACAGCTTTGTCATCCCCCCACCTGCGCCCCCGCCCCCACCAGGCAGCACCCAGCCCGGGATGGCAAAGGTCATCCAGCCAAGGACCTCCAAGTTGTGGGGTGATGTCACGGAGGTCAAAAGCCCGATTCTCTCAGGCCCAAAAGCAAATGTCATTAGCGAATTGAACTCAATCTTACAACAAATGAACCGAGAGAAATCGGCAAAGCCAGGGGAAGGACTGGATTCACCGGCAGGAGCCAAGTCTGCCAGCCTCCCTCCCAGGTAAGTCTGCAGTTGGCTTGGGCGCATACTGTCACGTGCTGACCAAGAAAAGCCGCTGGGGAATAACCCAGCAGCTGCACTTAGGGGTTTTGCATCACCTTGATGCTGCCCACCCAGTCAGGCATAACCACGTTTCCTGTGTCATCCTGGACAGCGGGACCGCACAGTGAAGGCAGGACATGCTGCTCCCTCCCTAAGATGCACAATGAAAAGAGGTCACACACAGCCATCCCAACTTTCAGAGGGGCTCAGCTCTCTTCTTGGCACTCTCAGACCTTTGCCAGGACCACAGTGAGGCTGGGTTGCACCTCGCCAAAGCCCAACTGCGCTTTGAGAAGATCAGCCATGCCATGGGGGGCGGGGTGTGAGAGGGTGAGCCGCGTGGCTAGCTTCCCCAACCCCATCACCCTGGGTAGGGCCTGAGGGCCAGGGATACACTGGGTCCCAGCTTTCCTGGTGAATTCAGAGTGAAGCACATGCCTTCCTGCCAACCCACCCTACCTTGAGGTAGACATCATGGAGGAAAAGTCTCTGGCTGTGTCAGCTAACCATTCACAGCATCCTTGGGGTTTAAGTTATTTCCATTGGGACTGAAGGAGGGTGGATGAGGAGTCATTTCTAAACCCAAAAAGCAGCCCCTATGCACATATGCCATACTCTAGAATGGCCCCTCAACCATGTGTTATTTCTGGATGATGTTCACCACAGCCCACTGGCTTCTGCCAGCACTTGTGGTTCTTGGTTTTCTCTCTTCCCTGCGACATGCTGTCTTGCTACTCCCAGGCAGGGTGTTCTTCAGTTTTTCCCACTGATGTTTGGTCTCAGGTTTCATCATTTTGACTAATGAAGTCTTTCTTCATTCTCCTGCTGGGCAGACATCTGATTCCAACAACTAAGTCCATTAATCAGTGATATCACACTGCAGTTGGGTCTTGAGAGGTGGGCGGAGAGCCACAATTTTCTCAGTTACCTTTCACTGTGGATGTTAATAAATTACTTGGATGGGTCCCATTACTCTTCAGAGGAATTATCAATTGGCTGCATGGTAGAGACGTATGTTGATGCCACTGCCTATTAACGGGGCTCCCCGACTACCAATGACATTCAAATAACACCTCCAGGTAGAGAGAAATTTCTCATATGCCCAGCATGTTTCTCAACTGGGTGAGGGAAATGCATTAGGAACTCCGCATTTCTGGTGGATGTGTATGTACATATACATTTGCACCTATTATATACTTAGAAGTCTCAAGGAAATCTTAAAAACAAGTCATTCTGCCTCTTCCCATTATGTAATAATATAGCTCTTTACACTGTCACTGCATATGTAGAAATCACAGGTAAAGCCTCATCTGAATGTTTCACTTTTGCCTGGGGTAGTGTTTATGGCATGAGGGCAAGAGCTAGGTGTTCTAGAGAGGATGGGTGGCTCACCCATGTGCACAGCCAGCAACCACCAGAGACAGGACTCAGGCCAAAGTTTCCAGACTCTTGCCTCCCTTTATTAGCACTGTCTGTGGGACAGAGGGAGCTGAGAGAACAACCCCAGTCCTAGAGGAAAGAATGCACTGGTCAGGCTGGGAGGGCAGCCTCCCCCAAGCCCAGATCCCCTGGGCACATCCACTCAGCGAATAAGGCCGGGGGCCTTATTCCCCAGGGCCTGCCTGAACAGCAGCTGGATAGCCTGCCTCTTTCAGTCACTTCGGGCTACTCAGAGCAGAATGGCATTCCACCCGTGTCTCTGGGGCCTCCCTATCCCAGCACTTCTCTAGGTGGACATGGGCAAGGAGGAGCCTCAAACAGCTATTACCTGGCAGGATCCTGGTGAACTCACTTGAGACAGCAGCTATGTGATCACCCGCACCCCACGCTCCACGGCCAAGAATGGCCACCTCCCAGCTTTATCACAATCAGAACATTAACCAATACCTACAAAACACCTGCCACATGTTGGGCATCTGTTCCCACCTGTACAACCAGCAGGGCCTATAATTATTCCCACTGCAGTCAAGGAAATTCGAGGTCAGAGCAATGAGGCAAAGGCGACAGTGCTGCTTAGCCAGAAGGCATAGATCTAAACCACCCACCCGGGAACCTGGTTCAGAGCTTGACTCCTATCTTCTGGCTGGAGCTAGGGATTACCTTGGAAGGAAGGGCCAACTATCTGATTAACTGTCTGCAGGGCTAGACTGCTGGCAGGATGGCAGTGTTTTTCTTGGGCCTGGGAATTCCCTGTGGCTGATAATAGGCAAGTGCAGTCACTAGATGTCACCAGTACTGCTGAGCAGCCAGAGCCCAATCCAGTCTTTCCTGCTTCCGCCTGAGGGTTACACTCAGACAAGCAATAGGATGGCCCCACGGCCAGAGGGCACAGATGAAGTTCAGTGACTTGGGGCACTAAAGTAAGCACACAGTTCTGACCCTCCTCTTCTGATCGAAAAATCCCACCAGGGTTGGAGGCATACTTTGGAAACGTGAGCTGCATTCAGGGGACATACAAGGTCCAGTTGGGGTGGCAGTCTGTAGAGCCACCAGTGGGGCCCATCCTGCCCCAGATGCCTGCGTATAACAACAGGCAGCACTCCACTTGCTCACGAGATGTCTTGGGGAAAGCTTCCCTTGCTGCGCTCCTACCAGGCTTGGGGTCACCCACACTGGGGCACTCTCAGCCTGGATGTCTCTTTAAATGCAACTAGAAATTCAGAGTTGTGAATTGCCCTGAACAAAATGAGGCTTGAAATTGGATGGAGGGAATTCCTACTGAGGAAAAAGAAGTTTTTCGAGGGAAAATTGAAAACGGGCCATACGTTCTGAAATGATAGACAAGCAGTGGTGCAAAAAATCCCATTTCCATAGAAACAAGTTTCAGTCACTAAGAAAGGGATGATTTTCAGAGTGCATCCTCTGTCATTCACCACAGTGATGGTGAACCTTTTAGAGCTTCCAAAAATAGCACCTGCTGAGGCCCATGTGCCGTAGGTTCATTATGACTAACCCAGGCTGAACGTGACCCTTTAGAGCAGTGATGGAGAACATTTTCGAGCTTTCAATGATAACAGCTGGCTGCGGCACACGTGACAGGTTCGCCACCACTGCTTTAGAGTGACTGTCACCTTTAGATTCTTTCCTAAAATGCTGAGATGAGACTGTCTTTTCTCAGGGGTACAGAAGAAAAGGAGAAAGTTAATTCCCAGATCCCTGCTTTCTTGGGCATATTTGAGAACTTTCTTCTTTTTTTTAATCCTCCCCGGTACCGGAAATCAAACTCACGACCTCGCGCTTGCCAGGCAGGCGCTGTGCCGCTGAGCTAAATCCCCAGCCCCTCTTGGGCATGTTTGATATGAGTTCTTGCTTCTTAGAGCTGCTCCTCAAACTCAGGGATGTGGTAAGATTTGGACATATCTCGATTAAATGTATGTTGTCAAAGGGAAGACAATCAAATAATTTTGTTGTATACATAGTGCTAGAGGCAGCTCTGGACTTGACCTAAAAATCCTGCTGAGACCAGGCCATTCTGGGGCACCCAGCCTGATTATGCCAGGAAATAATGTCATCTCTGGAGAATCTTTAACCAGATCAAAGCAAAGGAAGGAAGCTATGATTTGAGGACTGGGGAGTGTGGGTCTCCAGTAGAAGTTGCTGGTTCTCTCTCTCAGGCAGAACCAAGGCAGCAGTTGCTACCTCACAGGCTTCCCTACCCATCAGTACCTCTGGCTGGACCTCGGCATGTAACCTGGTGCTTGGCAGCCCTTCCTTTGGGACCTCAGAGCCCAGTGAATGACTCTCAACCCACCCACAGCCCTTTGTGCTCTCACACTACAATTGCGTGTGCAAAAGCATCACCAGCAGTTATCAAATGCCCTTCATTTGTTCATGCTTTTTACTTTCAAAGACCTTCGGTACTCTATCGATGCACTTGATCTTCCTTCACAACACTGGCGGTGTTAGGCATGAGCGGAATCCTTGCCATTTTGTGGATCAAGGAGCAGAGCGCCCGGTGCCTTGGTTAAAGTCATACCTCTGGGGACTTACAAATTACCCAACTGTAGACTTGCGAGGCCAGCTGGACACAGTCTTCAAACTTGGACCACAGCCCGGCCCATGGTCTCCTGAGTTCACTGGTCATGAGTTTACCAAGCTGCTGCTTTGTACAAATCCGACACCAGGACTGTGGTGGAGAGAAATGCACTAAGGAGGATGCCAGGACCCTCCAAAGATGGGGAGCAGATCTGGTCATCAATCTTCATTCAATAGTTCCTGGTTGCCCTTTATGTGCCAGACACCACTGATCAAGAAAACATTCAGATGCCTCTTCCTTTGGGGAGTGCAAGCTCTCTAAAGGGAAAATGGACAATAAATACTACACAAGACAAGACAAACCCAAACTGACAAATGTTGCCAAGGAACTAAGATGTTCCAACAGGTTGGTGCTCTGATAAGGAGCTGGCAGGCTGAGAAGTGATATTTGAAAGACTTAAAATATCCAAAAGAGTCAGCTATGCAGAGAACCAGGAGCCCATGCCTTATCCAGAAGCAGAAAGGTGCTTTCTATGCTGACGAGACTGGGCCAGGTGGCAGGGTGGGGCCAAGCCACAAAGAGCAAGGGACATGGCAAAAAATGGGATCAAATTCTGAGAAATAACAGCTATTAGTGCTTGCTGACGTTGCGCATGACCATACTTTTGCTTCCTAAAGATTGCTGAGGCTCCTGTGTGGTCTGAGCATCACCTGACAAGCTGAGAAGGCTGCTCTGGGAGTCCAGGTTTGAGACAAGGGGCCTATGCTCCTGAGATAAGCAGGTAGGCACCAGAGCAAAGTGCCCAAGGAATCCAGGAGACCACAGCCCAGGCTGCCCGTGACCTGGGAGATCCAGATACCATCTTTCCCCAGCCTTCCTGAGGTATAATTGACAAATACCAGATATCATTTTTAAAGCCAGACCAATCTGGTGTTTTTCAACAACACTTCTACGGAAAAGGTCAACTTTGCTTTCACTGAGT